TGTTCGAAAAAATAATCTGTTTTTGTATTCCCTATAAATTTCAGCTTGGAACAAACCTGCTATTGGAGAACTTATATTTGTTTCCGTCTGCCAGATAAGTAATTTTTGACAATTTCTAAATATTTACTAACCATAATACCACATCAGTGTAAAAATAATCTTTTGCTTCAGTTCTTGGCACATTAGACACTATCTTAAGTCTTAACCCGCTAATTAATAAATTAATTTATACATTTCGTTTAAAATCTCCGAGTTATAATTATCAACCATGATGATGATTACCGAATGTCGTAAAGTCGCGTGTAAAATATAATGCATAAAGGATACTATATTATGCCGTTAAATATACTTCCCACACAAACCCACACGTAATATTATTCTTACATACAAAATATTTAATATTAGATGCTTAATATTTTTTTTTACAACTATTTTGATAAATGTGGTTTTGAATCTTCTCGAATCTCGATGTTGTAGACAAGTTCTTACTGTATCTTAACATTGAACATATTTATAAATTAAGATAGATATGTATTGTATAGGTAGTTTATGATAAATAAATTACATTTAACTATTTAATTCAAGCAACTAAAATTAAATAGTTTTATTTAAATATCATAAATATTTGAATTTCATACACATATTATATTGTCATCATACACATAACTATATAAGTGATAAAACTTAAACTAAATAAGTTCTACACTTCTGTACACTATGACTCATTTACAGTCGTTATATATTCATATCCATTCTGCAGCGTTTTTAATTTTAATAGTTATAGGTAAACTATGCATGACGATGACGAAGAAATGTATACGCATTATATAATATATATATATACATTTATAATACCTGTATATAGGCTAAAGTGCTAGTATAAGCATATAGTATGTATACATATTAAATAGGTATATAGGCAACGTATCGCCTTTTCCAGACGAACAGGTTTTCAATATCTGTTGATTATTTTTAATATTTTAATAAATAGTACAAGATTTGTCAACATGTTTAAGGCCATCATAATGAATAAACATTTTTTTGAGAACTATTATAAAAAAATATGCTACTATATTATACAAATGACCATCGTGAGTCGTAATAAATTGAAATCTCCATGTATATAATAATAATAGATACATGGGTATGTATATAGTAATAATATATTAAATCTATTAATTTCACAAAGCAATATTTTATGACTCCATCTCATACAAACACACATTTATATAATATTGCGTTCTGTGGTTAGAGCATGGTTACATTTGTATACATTCTTTAATTTTTATATGTAACTATAAGAATTCATGACACGTAGATATAACTGATATAAGTAAATATAATATAAGTACAGTTGGTACAGACCACTTCCTGTACAAAAAAAAAAAAACCCCCCATAAACAATATATTACTTGTATCATCATTATTATTCATAAATAATTTGTAATAATTGAAAGGTGAATACTATTTCGAAAATAAATGTAAACATTTGTTGTTTTGTCATTAATTTAATTTATATACGTATATGAGTTGGTAGGTAACTAATTCATTAAATTATCAAATAGGGTCAGGACATTTACTGACTATTGTTATTTTATATGACGCAACGAGTTTAATTTAAGAAAATGTATACACAGGGGTAATTTACCAAGCATACTCACTTATTTTATCCTTTAAGAAGAATATCGAATTATGATTTTTAAAGACGTGACAACACCATCAATTACCTTGGTTTATTTAAAAAAATTGTTTCTTGAACAAAATTAACATAATGGCAATTTAATAATTTGATTTATTAAATGTTACTCGAGTCTAATATCATGTTTTTTTTTTTTTTGTATCTTTTGAGGTATCTTATCAATACAAATTATTAAATTTAAATAATATTAATTGTTATTGGATAGATACTATCATCGAATGTCATTCCTTATATTTATACAATACATGTTAAAATTGTACATACTTTAATAAATTGTAGATACACTATAAACCTATAATATGGGTCTATAGATTTTTGGTAATTCTCCTGCAACTGCTTCTTAAATATTTAATATATTTCCTTAACAAAATATTGTTATTTATAAATGAAGTTTTGTCCATAATAAAGATTATTATATAATTATAATTACATTATCAAATCCAAGGTCACCTGCAGAAATTTTTACCAGGAGAAGGGGGAGTATTATATATATATACATATTATATCATCTAAGATCTAACATATTTAACGGTTTCAACATTAATTATAAAAATAAATCCTATGACTTTAACAAACATGAAACATTAACAAAATCGGATAGAAGGTAGGAGAGATTTAGCTCCTCAAATTTGATACCTACTTCTAAGGCTCTAAGGTTAGAACCTGGCGCGGCCTGTTATGTACCTATATATAGTAAATAGTAATTAGTTTTAAATCAGAAAAGTTGCTGCACTGTTATATGCCTGCAATAGGAAAGTCTCATCATTATGTAGGTCTGAGGTTACAGTAATATAGTGTAATGAAAAAATCAAATTTGAATTCAATGATAAATCATTGAATAAAATAAAAATTCGAAGGTATGTAATAAAGTAAGTAGTTAATTTTAAGATTTGTCCTTTTTTTTTTATATAATATTTGTAACTATTTTTATACGTTAATACTTCATTTATATTTGTTTTTTATTTATAGCATTGTAACTGATGTAATCTGTAAGCAATAGCAACCGTTTAAAAAAACAAATCATTCGATTTTCGTGAGCCAAATAAATCCAAAACTAAAATCATGCATAAACTATTTTATTACAACCTACAATAAGCGTTGAAAAAATAATTTATAAATATAACTTTGATTGAAAACTGTTAAATCGTTCAAAAGTTACGCGACCGTTAGTAAGTTCAAAACAGACGGACTGAATAATTACACAGGTAAGTACCTACGATTTATAAAAACATACTCGTGACCCCTATATCATTCATTTAGCATACGGGTATCGTGTTGCATGAAAATAACGTTGAAAACTTGCCTACAGCAATAGGTAGTGATGCGGATTATACACTGTAATAGTCAAAAGAAAATAATACGCCGCAGCGTTGTAATTTGATTACCTACACATAAGTCAGGCATTACACACGCATACTGTTAGTAATGTTAGTATATGTATAATAGAGGCACATCGACACATTTTAAATACATAGGTATATATATTTACGCACACTTTTATACTCCATATAGCTACAGCCGCTACAGGTGTCTGACGGGGTTATGCATGCAAATTAACGTATTATATAATACCTATTATAATATGTACTTACCCGCGTGGCCATTAGGTTGTGCTGTGTTATACTATATTATTGTGTTTTATTCTCGTCTATTCGCAATTTATTGTCTGTGCGCGTGTAGTTAACGGGGTCTTTATCTCTTCCGTCAAAGCGCAACGTAGACAGGTGCATGGGTGGGCGCTAGGTACTGTACAGTCACATATCATACACAAAACACAATAAATAAAACATAATTTACATTAAACACGCGACGGTGCACAGTACAAACCACTGCATCAGTGACGCGCACCCATCCCGTCATCCGATACGCGCAATGAAGTAAAAATCGCAACACTACAATAGTAATATAATAAACCGACCAATCGAACGCGCGTGTACCTATATATATATATATATATATGTGTGTGTGTGTGTGTGTGTGCGCGCGTGTGTCATTTATAACGTAATTTGTTGAGCGTTTATGACTATAACAGTCAATACCTTAATATGTATATTTATATTAAATACGATATGGCGGGGACGCCAAAAAAGATTAAAATCGCATGCGTGGCGCTTACATAGCTGTAAAAAATCATAGCGATGTTTCGGTTTGAGTTTCTATGGGCTCGTATCAGCTTCACAGGCATTACCACGATTTAAAATACAGTACCTTAAACCAAGTTTATTACTCTTTTTAGTCGTAACACATATCATTATATAATATTTTTAAATATAAAATTATAATTTATGGTGGCTTACAAAAATACAGTCGATATCGTCATATCGAACTGCGTAGGCGGTACCACGCCCCACGCCCTCACTTTATTACAACCACATCAGTTCTCACTCAATTCTACTACTCCTACAGTGCAGTTACACTAAACGAAAATACGAAAACATTAATTATTATATTTCTTACATGTGTGAGTTTAGGTATGGACAATTGATATTTAGGTATAGGTACCTAATATGCTGCCGTACAAAAATTTGATAATAATTTTACAAACAAGAGAAAAATAAGGGTGATGATAAATGATAGAATCTCTTTATGAGTCAATTTTTTAAAATACTTCATGATATATTTTTAATATTAAAGTAATTACTCTCAAGTTTTCTTTTTTATTAATATTTCAAAAATTGTTATTTAATAATATTTTTAACCCTTTTAATTAACTTTTATCTAACAGTATAAAACATTTTTAATAACTAACTATTCATGACAGATATAAATAATTTATTTATACAAATTAAACTATTTTGTATTTTGATTAATTGAACAGATATGACAAATTGAATATACATATTCTGACATTTAATATGTAATAATATAATTGATTTAATAATTAATGATTTATAATTGATAAAGATTTAATATTCTAAAATTTAGTTAAAATTAAAAGTATAATAAAATAAATTCTACTGTAAACATTTTAAAAATTATTAGCAGCTTCCAGTCTTGAATTAATTTTTGTATCTTTTGTACATCAATTCATATAAATCAATCTAGGTATTAATTGTTGTCCAAATCAGACATTGATAAGTATTTTATATTTATTTCTACACCTGCACCATTCTCGAGGTGTATACAATGTAGGAACTACATCATCACTATTCAATTTTATTATACTTTATGCAAATTAATAATTATTAAATGTAATCAATAAATTATAAAAGAAACTATGATAACATTTCTTAATTAACATTAAAAATAATAAACATTGTAATTTAATTGTGAAACAGATAAACAAAAGTGTTTAAATAAATAATAAATTAATACATTAATATGCTAAATCTAAAAATTATGTAAAAGCAATATAAATGATGTAGTCAATACAGTATTCTAGCAATAATTTGGTTGATATATGAATAATAATTAAACAAAATTAATAACAATTTTGTTCTGTTTTATAAAAAATGGTATTCACAATTAGTTAACCAGGATAACTACATCCAATCACAATAATGCATAAGTTGTGTTTTTCTATCAATATACCAAATTTACTTTTACCATGGTGGTTGTTGCTGATTTTGTGGTGGGTATTGTGGTGGATATTGAGGAGGATATTGTGGTTGACCTTGAACAGCATAATTTTGATAGTCTAGAACCAAATACATTATTGTAAACTTAACTGGTAAATACAATATTTTTGTGGTTTTCCACATGACAAACACAAACTATTTTTAATGAACAATCTTAAAAAGACACAATGCCTTTACAAAAACACACTGTTTTATTTTTAATCATATAGCAGATTAAATTAAATCATTTATGAGACAAAAATTTAAATTAATTTTTAATTACAATTTCTAAATAAACAAAATACATATTTATATTTACTCTTTATCTCAGATCTCTATTTTGTAAGAGAATAATCTCAAGAGGTTCAGTGCATAACAACTGCAATGTATGTGATTTTTAAACTTTTGAAAATATTACTTTATTAATACAACAACAGCCTAGTCAGTACTTTACTAAGTTTAACACAGCGTCGCAATTTTCACAGCTGATAGTCGTAAACAAAAGATGACCAAGCTGGTTAAAATTTGGTCACTGCTAAGGTTACTCTTAGTCTTTTATAAAATAATATATTAACATAATGAAATCTTTATAAATATTTAAGAAAATTACTTGATGAATACTCAAATTTGTAGTATTTAAATATAGATAGGAGTTAAATAAATATGAATTTTATTATCCTATCCATATCTTATCTTTGTAATGAATAGAAAATTTAACTCACAAAAACTAGAATATGGTTTTAAACACAATATATATAAATAAGAAAATTAATTAAGACCAGAAACCAAAACCAGTAAAAAAATAAAATCTTTTCAACTCTCTGGTTACAATATAATATTAATATATAATACATAATATACCTTGTGGCTGATAATGATGAAGTGTTGCATAAGGATTGTATGTAGTTGGCATAGGCGGTGCACACATATAAGGTTGGTAAGATGGCCCAGTCCTTGGAAGTGTATATGGTAAGGGCATACCTTGAGGTTGTACAGGATAAGGGAGCTGAGCACCAATTGGTAATTCATCTATATGAGAAAATTGTATTCAAAATAAGTATTAACAGAACTTAAATAACAAAAGTAAGAGTATATTTACGGCTTTTAGCAGGTGCAGCTGGAATAGAAACAGGTTTTTCTCTACTCAAATCTGAAGTTAAAGTTTTAAGCAACTCTTCTTTTTCTGCTTTTCGAGCAAAACAAAAATCGGAAATTTTATTTTGAGCAGTAATTAAAATCTATAGCAACAGAAACAACAACTATTAATTATTTAAAAAGTAATTAAAAGATAAAATAAAAATAACGAGTGCTTATTTTAAGTTTAACTACAGAAAGCTAATTGCATTACCTAAACTATTTTATTATTCCTAATACATTTTTTTTATTATCATAAATAGAATATTTTGTATAATTACTTCGGTCAAATCATTATAAAATTTGGTTCCTTCAACTAAATTATTTTGTAAATCATTAAATACATCATAGCCAGATGCTAAATCTTTAAATAATGCTTCTCTTTGGCCACCACTGCTCTTTTCTCTACAAAATTCTGTATTCACCACCTAGAATGAATAATTAATTAATAATGATAGAAAAACATTTTTTTAAGAATATACCTGGATATTAGATAGAAGTTTCTCTTGTCTAGCAAGACTATCATTAACTTGAGCTTTTAAATGTCCATAAGATTGATCCAAGCTCTCAGTTGACAAATTAGCTTCATGAATGGATCCTTCCTCAGACAAAGCATTCAAGAATTTTGATTTCATATCAGTTGTGGCACATTTCAATTCCGTTTCAATAACATCTCTTTCATTTTTCAATGCTTCTACCTGCATTAATTTAAAATTAAAATAATTCATGAAAATAGAATAATTTCTACTTTTAATTTTATATTTACCTCTTCCATTAAGTGTTTTAATTTATCAGCAGCTGTAGAGTTGGCAAAATTGACCCCAGAACTTGATCCGACTGGCAATACATTTTTCATGGCTTCCTGGCCTTCAGATAATAAATAAATGGCTCGCTTGTTTGTTTCAAACTTTTCATGTATCATCTAATATTTTAAAAATGTAACCATAAACTTTTAAATATTAGTAACAATTTAATATACTTCTACCTTATCAGCAGATTTAGCATTCTTAATGATTTCGCGATATTTAGTTATGTTAACTCTAAAAATTTGAGTAAGAACATTTGATTTTGTGCGATTCCATTTATCTTTAAACTGTGCTTGGAGTTGTTCGTCAGATGCTTGTTCTTCATTTAACATCCGTTCAGACTAAAACGTTTGATTATAATAAAACTATTTAAAACATTTATTAGAATTACTTATAAATATAGATAAATAACCTCATTTATTATTTCTTCATTTCGTTTCAATAATTCGGGTAATTCTTTGATCATATTTTCTAACTTGTGAACTCCACCGTTCATTCGTACATTGTTTGATTTTTCTATTAGCGACTGTGGTATTCCTACACCTTTAACATCCTCTAGTGCTGCTGGCAAATTTAATGATGCTAAACATCTATAAACAAATGCTCCATTATATACTTAAAGGTAATAAATCATTATGATTTTTATGGTATAAATAAGTAATAATTATTTGACATACCCATTTAATATTTGTGTAGATTCTCTCAACTTTCCAATTTCAGAATTAACAAGTTCTGTTTTACGAACATCATATGCACTAAGTGCTTGTTGAACTGATATTGGTACTAAATCCTCAAATAAATCTTTAAAAAAAATAACATAAGTGGAATAAAATCAGTTTAAGCACAAGCAATTTAAACAAAAAATTTTTAATATTTTTACCTTTAAATTTAGATGAAAACTTTGATGGCACAGGAGTTGGTTTAGCAATTGCAACTTTAGATATTAGTTCTAAATGTTTGACATCTGGAATTCGTTCGTGATAAATAAAATCATTATCCTTTTTTGCTTCATTTAACTCTTGCATAGCTTTATTAAGAAGCTCATTGTAAAACAAACGAGCACATCGTTCTTGACCACTTTTAAGAAACGAAATAGCTACCTAAAAATAATCATAACAATCAAAATTTTGTTATATTGCATTCATCTCAAATTAATTTTTTAAACATACATTAAGTCTAGCTATTTGTTCACCAACGATTTTATTATTCTTACACACCATTGCTTGATAATACTGAGCCAAACCATGAAAAATTGACTGTTTTCCATAAACCTAAGAAATTTAAATTTATGAAAATGTTTTAATATTTGTGAAATCAATATTTTATTATAAATATTAGATATTTACATTTGATGTCCATTCTTTATCCAAAGACATCATAACTGTTTCTTTTTCCATCATTTTTGCTGTTTCTGCATAATATTCTTCACATTGTGCACATAGTTTGGCAATTGTCTGATCTTTCATTTTATCTAAAAATAAATAAAATGTCAGTAGGTACTTAACTAATATATTATTTTTATCCACTAACATAAAATAACAATGTATAAGGTTAACACAATAAATATTTATACTCATCAGAAAAATTAAATTATTTCAAAATGTATTTCTATTTTAAGGATTGTAATAATTTTTTTTTTTGTAAAGTTTTTGAAAATGTAGAAAAAGTTTACCCATAATGTATGTGAGGTAGCAATAGAATATTATTTTACTAATTCTTCAGAATATAGGAAAAAAATAAACTCAATGAATTTAATTAAAATAACAAGCAAATACCTAATCCTATATAAGCAAAAATCTATCAAGTTCCACCTTAGAAATCAATCAAAAATTTTTAATAACATAGAAAGGTATCCAAATAATAAGTACTTAAGTACTACACAGATCAAAATCACATAAAAAACACTATGGAAAAATTTAAATCAATAAAAGAAGTGAGTTACTGCAAATAGTAAATATGTCCCATTTCCCAAAAAAAACATTATTTATTGAGTGATGTCTGTGAGAGAATCTTCCACATTATATTAAAATATCATGATAAACAAATTAATTTTACTCTCAGATATTAACAACATAATTCTCAGAAATCAATTTTTATTTAAATTCAAGCACGTGTATTGAATTGTGATATAATAATTTATTAATTAATAATATTATAAAATAATGAATAAATATTTATGTATTCATTCCTCCTTAATCCCTTAAAAATACATACAATAAATATTTTTAAACTCTACCTTTATATTTAACTGTCAACAATCTTAATGTGTACTATAAAACATGAACTACAAACAGTTTAAATTCTATAAAAATTATTATTTTCTAATAAATAAAATAAGACTACTTATATCGCAGCTAATATTTATATAATTATTGTAAAAGAGTTACATTCTTGTATCATAAAATTAAAGTAAATAATTTGAGATTATCTAACAAAAAATCATAAAATATAATAACATGCAAAAACCCAGATTTTCTTACCTATATTTGCTTTGACTATGAACACTTCTTGGGCTTGAGCTAACATAAGAGATGATAACATTGCCAATGAATCTGGATTTAAATCTGCAGTTGGATCTTGTTGAATTACATTCATAACTGTTGTTTTTAATGTATTAAATATACCAGCACTTTGCTAAGAACAAAAATTTTAATACTATAAATTTGAACACAATTATAACAAACAAATTAAACAGGATAAACAATTTCATATTATATTATTGAATAGATGAGAGTTAAAATTAAATCAACAAATTGAAAAAACTAAATCCGTCAGTAATATGATTTTTAGAATTAATCAATATTTTTATTAACCGGTTGTTGGTATCACTATGCAACATCCCACCATTGGTATATATGTACGCCATTTACAAAAAAATGTTAAGTCAACACCATTAAGAGGACGTCGTACCCGCATATGTTGTCTCCGTCTTACAAATGCGTAACATGGCAAATAGTACTCTCAGAAGATCACGTTTAGCTCCTTCAGCTTGAAAATTAGAATGAATTGACCTCTTTTGAAATTTAAAAGTGAAATTATTATCTAGGCCCTAGGGCATCTCATAGACTTTTTATTATATTTTAATTTTAAAGCGAGTTATGTGTGTTTTAAGACGTGCAAGCAATTTACAATTTTAAAATACTCATAACTTGCTTTAAAATTAAAATATAATAAAAAGCCTATAAGATGCCCTACATAATAATCTCACTTTTAAATTTCAAAAGAGGTCAATTCATTCTAATTTTCAAGCTGAAGGAGCTAAACGTGATCTTCTGAGAGTACTATTTGCCATGTTACGCATTTGTAAGACGGAGACAACATATGTGGGTACGACGTCCTCTTAAGTAAGCGCAACACTCATTTTTTATGAATACTAATAACTTTTGATATTGATAATCAAGTAATATTTATAAAAGTATATTTAGATACATGTCAATTAGATGAATCAAGCTATAAATAAATCAGTGATTATCAAAATACTAACTAAGTGAACGCTGCGCTCACCATAATACCAATGAGGGGTTAATTTTCTATGTTCTATCTAGCAAGAGAATTCATTGTGGCTACATGAAAATTTGATCTGCATATCTCTACAGTCTATATGACACACAACCATTTAGAAAAGTTGCATTATGACAGGTATTGTCATAGATACTACAAAACATTGTTGTTCTCTTTCTATGGACAAAATATCTATCTGTTAGACTAAAAAATGAATGTTGGCGCCAACTCAAACTTATAGTTAGGTCAGAAAATTCTCTAAGCCCACATTGCTCCTATCCATCAATAAAATATGTTTGGCAACCACTATCTACTGCCATGGAATTTCTTTTATACAGTGATAAGAGTAATGTGCATGTGAGGTTGAATTGCATGTTTGCATTCTATTATCGAACAGAGTAAAACAATCAAACTATCATGTTTTAAAATATTTATGGGAATTTTAAGTAAAAACGATGTATACAATAAATAGCTATAGATAATATTAGATTATATGATTAGATAAAACCTGGACAAAAATATTAAAATCAAAATTCAGAAAAAGTCTGAGAACTGGTTTTCAGTTAAAACAGGTTAAAATTTTATTTGTAAACTTATTTAATTTTTTAGAATGAGCCAATCTTTGACATTTAAAATACTAAAACTTAAACTAGTAACATAAGATAGGCAAACTATTCTAACAATATAACAATTTAATTTAATTATATATTGTAAAAGTGATTAATTTATTTACTTGGAGAAATTTAGCAGCCATCTTTAACCCATCATCAGTCTCTAAATTTTGAGCAGCTGCTACTGCACTCTGTTGAGCTGCTATATTAAATAGTACACATATTCTCTCATAAGCAAATGAACAGAGAGCTAAACATATGAAATAAACATTTATATAGTAAATATTTTAAATTAACATAAAATAATTGATTGAGGTATTATATAATCTGAACATACTTATACTGACTTTTCCATTAGCAAAAAATGATGTCATTTTATTGAATGCATCTTTCCACTTAAAAGGAATTTGTACTTCAGATGGTGGCACTTTAGATTCTAATGATGTTATCTGATCATAATAACTGCAAAATACACATAAATATTTATATAAATTATACTATTTAAGTAATCATTAAAAAATTAAGTTATGCTAGTTTACGTGTATATCAGATCGAGGGAATTGTCATATTTATCCAACACCTTCCAAAGAGCTTGGTTGCGAAGTTTGCTCAGTTCGTTGATGGCTTCTGTGTAGTCTTCAGGATTATCAGCAGAGTTATAATGCGAAGATATTAAATTCCGTAAAGGTTTTACAATGTTCACTTCAGACGCGCGTTTCGTGGGCACCGCAAGCAACGTCGTGGTCGCCATACTGAGTATCGTGTTGAAAAATTTCACAAATTTAATAAACCAAACTCGATGCGAAACAAAGGTACGAAGTACTTTTGACCGGTGAACGACGAACTTATAAACGGACTTCCCAATCTAGCATTAAGTCTGCGGTACAAATATCTAAGAGTTGTTAGAATATAAGTCGACAATAACAGTAAATGTAAGATAACTGATGAAGTGATGAGTGATGACTAATAATGACTAAGCTGACGGGTCGAAAAGTATATAACTGTTAACTGCTTAATTGTTTAGACTGCGAAAAGTGAACAAAACAACAGTAAGGGCATTGCCGCATTGGGCGATAATAATAACACGATATGTATATAATGAACATCTAAGAAGTAAGGTTGTAACTGACTTTATTGTCATTTATACGCTTATCATTTTACAGTGTTGCCGAATAAAAAACACATTAAGACGTTTAATATATAAATTATACATTTTACCAGAATTGCTATAAAAATTTGAACAATTAACATTAATAAATTAAAAATAATGAATATAAAAAAAATAAACCTTTTAGAAATAAAACTTAAAAATTTCTATCAAAAATGTATTTAAGAAACTTTAAAAATGTATTTACTTGAATAACATAATATGAATAAAAAAAACACGGTTAAACATAGGCGACCCCAGACATTTTTTTAGGCAAAATTAATTTAAAAAATAAAAAAAGGAATTTTTTTTATACATTTTATTTATAGAACATTATTATGTTTCGTTATAATTACATTAATTTATTACAATTAAGTAACAAATTAAAAATTTTAGGGTGGAAGAGTGCCGTGTCTTGCCCCTCCCCCCTAGAAACGCCCATGTGGAACAAAAATCTTATAATATAAAACCAATATATCATAAACTTAAACATTTATACATATTCTTTATTAAATATATAATTAATATAAATTACGGCCTTTAAAAATACCTGAATTTTTATTATTCCTAAAGTTATTTTCAAAAAGTTTACAATATTTAATTTTTATCAGATATTTTTATTTTATGTGGACTATTTATTACTTATTTAAAATAATTTTTATTATTACGGATATTGAGTAAGACCTCAATAACATTACTTCAATAACTATTTAAATCTTAAAATAAGCTCTTTTAACTAATGTTTACTTTTATTGCTCTGTTGTCTTTTTTTCGTTAATGATATTACTAGTTCTACTTTAAACTGACTAAATTAAAATGTACATCCCAAAAGTATAAAGGAAAAATTAAAAGCATTTGTATTGGAAAAATCTTATGAGATCATACAGAATATAGATGACATTATTCATTAATTCTATAACTATTAAGTATTATGTTAACATACTTACCTATTGCCTTATATAATTAATATAATGTAAATTGTAAAATGTAAATATTGTATATATTTTGTTATCATTATGGTTCATACCAATTATCATTTTTTTACCACGTGTTTGATATCAGTTATCAATTATTATGCCTTATCAAAATGCTAGAACTACAAAAACTAGCATTAGTAAAAAATATTTATTTAATTATTGTTATGTTCTAATAAATATAATTTATTTCTAAACACTTTATAAATATTTAAATATGTTAAGATGTTATAGTTAAATTGATATTAAAAGTTTAAAAATGAATAAAACTTGTTCATTGAGACGTTTGTGTAACTTACATGAGTTTTTAATTAAGCAACACCGTGTCATACGTTACAAATCAAATACTCACAATGACTTGAATTCATTTGTATTGTATGATAAATTTATTTGTGAACGTCGGTCTCAGTCAAAATGTAGTGTTTTAGTGCAGGTTTCTTCAGAAAATTCAATTTCTGATTTATATTCTTATTGCTCCAAATATGGTCCAATAAAAAATATATTTCACTATCAACTGGCTGGTTCAAATCATTTTGTGCTTACCGAATTTGAAGACCAATCAGCAGTTAATACATTGCTTGACCAAAGTACACATATTAAAGATTCAAATGTAATTGCTGTTAGATCACCATTTCTTTGGTTTCGTTCAAATGCAAGTAAAAAAAATTCAAAACTAGTAAGCACTAATGATAAATTAAAATTTCCATTTCAAGTAAATCAAACAATGATAGAGCCAAATATAAGAAATATTGGACTGGACAAACTTGATTCATTGTCTAATCAGATGTTATTATTATTGAAGTGTACACAGCTGAACGATATTGGTACAAGATTGAGGTTTCTAACAGCTATGCAAATTGAAAATGCACTTAAAGGTATTTTTCCTTTGTCAAAAGTATTACCCTTTGGATCATCAGTAAATAGTTTTGGTAAAATTGGCTCAGATATTGACTTAGTTCTAATGGACAGTGAAATCAAAGAAAATAAAACTAGTAGATTGATTTATCATGGAAAATGTGTGTCAAATAGTAGGACACAAACACAGCGAAATATTGAAATACTTGGTGATTTGTTGCAGTTATTTTTACCAGGTTGTTCAAGAGTGAAACGTATTTCTCAAGCAAGAGTACCAATTGTCAAATATTCACAAGATTTTGTTGGTGTTGAATGTGATCTAGCAGTTTCTAATGAAACAGCTGTTAATATGTCTGAACTTTTGTACATTTTTGGTAATTTTGACTATAGAGTTAGGCCTTTAGTTTTTACCATAAAAATGTGGGCCAGAGAGATCAATTTAACAAATGATACACCGGGAAGATGGATAACTAATTTTTCATTAACACTATTAGTGTTATTTTACTTACAACAAGAAAAAATCATTCCTGACATTCAGACGCTAGTAAAGCAAGCTAGTAACAGTGACGTTCGAATCACTAATGAAGGCATCAACTGCACGTTCCTTAGAGATGTATCAAAACTTAATAAAGTTGTTGACAATAAAAAAACCTTGGATCAACTTTTACTTGGTTTTTTTGAATATTTTGCATCGTTTGATTTTAATACAAATGCAATATCATTAAATTATGGAAAAACAATCAATAAGCCTGAATATAGTGCCCTATACATTGTCAACCCATTAGAAGTACATTTTAATGTTAGTAAAAATATTAGTTCAGAAGAAATAGAGAGATTCAGGATAGAACTAAGAAATGCTGCATGGACAATAGATTCTTCCTTAATGAATACAAAATCGTTTAATTTATTAGATCTATTCAAAGGTTTTGACGTCAACAAAAAGAACCAAATAGTTTTTGAAATTCAACATCAAATAAAAAATTCTAATAGGTTAGTTACTGTCAAAGATTTGTTTGATGATTCACAAACCCAAGAAGACAAAAGACTGACCTAACAATTAAAGCCCAGTGAAAGAAAAATTGTATTTTATAAATAAATTAAGAATATACTATAAATTAAAATATGTGACTGTTTTTCTTTTTTTTTGTATTTATTACAAATAATTATACTCAATACAATGTCCTAAGATAATACTTTTAGTATAATATGACCAAAGTTCCATTAATAATAAACAAAATTCCTCTGAATTTATATTTTATAATATTGCACATTGTATTAATACAGACATGTGCTTGAAAATATTATGACTTATTTGTAAGAACTAATCCATTAATTTGATATGTAATTTTAATTTTTTCATTCAATTCTAATTTTAGTTTTACAAATAGCAACTCATTACTCATAAGTATTTTTATGTTTTGAGACCTAACAATAATTAGATAACAAAATCAATTGAAATAAAACCTAAAATTTTACCAAATAATCAGCCAAGTATTAACACTAAATAATTACAGAGTGTTTAATACATCTCATGGTTACTTCAGTATTTGATATCTGTACCACATTAAATATAAATACTATAAGTATTTAGTACACAGTTACAGCAATAATAAATCAAAATTTATTGTTGACAGTAAAAAAAGAAAAAGAAAAAAATATAAAAAATGTACACACTTATGTATGATAGATTTCAAGGGCAATTTGATATTGAACATCTAAAATGATGTGATAAAATTTTTTAATTATATATTTAACAAATAAAACAAATTACAATTAAAAATATTCTTGATACCTACCTCTCCTATAAGCTTAACTTGAGTTAGGAGCGATTTCAAATAAATACAATTTGAAATGTCCAACTGATTTTCTAACATATGTGTTATTTAACAGAAAAATTGATTCTTAGTATTCAGCTTCCTTATCTTTTCCAAGGGCATTTAAGATATTTTATAAAAAAAAAAATTTAAATTATTTTAGCCATAAATATAATATTTTATCATACAATTCGAAAGAGAACATTTATTTCTGTTGTTATTAACAATCAATAAAAAAATAAATAAAAAAAGCTATTAGAATCTAGAGTTATAATAATGTTTAGAAGATAATTGTATAAAGTATATACTTTGATGCTAGAAATAAAATTAGAGCTAATTAAGCTATTTTCTTTTTACCTATTCGAGGAGTTGTGGTGTAACTGAGTATTACTAATCTAAATTAAATACAACAAATCAAAATTTCATTTAGTTTATTTTAATTTTATCTTTCAATTCAGGATACACCAAAATAGTAAACAATACATTTTTTAAGACCAGCATAAAACATAATATTTACTATTAAGTATTAATTATGAATACAAGTGTAAAGACCAATTGTCATTTGCATTACCTTAATAAAACAGAATATAAATTAATTTAACATTTTTAAGTATAATACCAATGTAGTCAAATAGTTATTATTTTATAACATCATGATTTGTTGGATAATATTACAGAGACCGTGATATAGATGTTATAGGTATTTTTTCAATAATAATAATTAATAATAATAATAATAATAATAATAATAATAAAAACGGACAGTCTTGAACTTATTGGTACAAATGTTACAAATTACCATTATATTATCTAGATGGCAATTTATAAAATACATTTTATTGCCAAATTTATTAAATAATGCATGACCATTTGTTTTAAACGTTGTACAATACAAACGCATCAATATAATATAGTTATCTGATTTGGTCGCATATAAATAAAATGAATTACAATATAATATATACATACAAATTTTGTCTAAAATTGATAAAAATTAATTGAACATATTATTCATTAGAATTAAGTTACATTTTATGAATAAACACTAAAAAGATAAAAATTTGTAAGATACTTTAGTAGTATCTATAGAACACTAGACATAATATTGAGAACTAGAACATAAATTATGAATTAAAATATAAATTCCTAATAATCAAAAAGTTATTTCTTGATATATTTAAATTAAAATGCACACTATTAAGCAAAAAATATAAACTTAAGTTGTTTTGTTATTGTTAAATTAAATAAAAATATAATAGAAAATGTTACTCGAAACTTCCCTAATCACAATGTAGAACTAAATATTATTTTATTGATTGGAAGACATCAAGGTAAAAATTCAAAAACAACCCAATCAATAATATATATATATACACATATAAATGCATATATATTATCTAAATATATATATTTATATATGTAAATATATATGTATATATATTTAACAGAATATCGTAGAATATATTAATTATTATACATTTAAACTATATTATATTTATATATGGAAAAGATAATTATACTTAAATTGTGATTGATAAGATTTTTAACTAAATATTAATTTGTATCTAAAATTTATGCTTCAAATTCAATTTATATGAATGTGAGAGGTAGATTTGTTTCGATAAAAATTATTATTATTTTCATTATAATTTAATTATTGTCTAGTTAACATTATTAATGCTGCGAACTTTTTTAGCTACAGCCCTAACACGCTTAGCGGCTTTAGGAATAGCCAATTCTAATTTACGTTTAACACCAGTACTAGTGGATGGTTCCTGTTCGTCAGAACTCTTTACTTCCTCGAATACTACTGGTTCACTTTGTTCCATAGAATCCTTGTTAGTATTTTCTGGAGTTTGGTCACCTTGACTATGCAATCTGGTCCGTACAGCATTGGTAGTAGAATTTAAAGGCGGTGGTCCCATAGCTAAAGATAGATCACTTGCAGTAGTACTACAGGATGAGCAAACTGAAAGTGTAGATGATGAAGAAGCTGATTGTAAATATTGAATTTCTGTCTTGCATTTATTAAGTTCCTATAAAAGTAATTATTATAAAGTATAGAATAATTATTATTTTTTTTTTTTATATATATTTGTAATAAAATAATAGTGTACTATTTATTTTTATAATACATTTATACATACAATGGTGTGAGGAAGAATTATGGAATGTGATAACTGATTAATGATCTTAAAACTCTGGTATAACTAGTTAGAACGTCAAAGAAGAATATGCAATAACTTAAGACTTAATCAACTAAAATAAATGCAACTTGGATATATCAGAAAAAAGTCTACTAATTGCAAGTTTAAGCAACAAAATAGATTATCCCTAATTATAATTCACTTTGCATATTAACTGATAATAAGAGAGCTATAGTAAGCATCTTTAATATCTACAGCAATAATTTAAAAAGCTATGAGGGAATCATTTAAACTTAAAAAAAAACTTTTAAATAAATTCATTTTTATGATAAAAAATCAGAGATGCAATAAAATCCAAAGAAAAATCAACAAAAAATTGATCATTTTTCCATTAAATGTTAAATTTGTTTATGAAATCAAGTATAATATGTATTAAGGTATATCATTATTTTAATATAATGAAAAAAAAAATAACAAGAAAATTGAATGTACAGCTAAGGATATATCAAAATCAATGATTCTAATATACAAATATGTGAAACAAAATTATACAAAAAAAAAAAACTTATTAAAAATTCTAGCACTATCATTTACATGTGACTGTGGCTATTATACACAATTACAATTTATTGACCAGATATATTACGCTATAATAATTGTGTTTTATATTCATTTTCACTGACAAGCACTAGTGCTAAAATTCCTAACAGTTTAGTAAACATTTATGATCAATATCATAATAGCAATTCATTTCAGTAGACATTTTGTTATAATTTATTGAATAGCTAAACTAAGATTTAATCTGAGAATCTGACACCTTCAAGGAAATGAGAAGAAATAGCTAGATAACACAATGAAAGCAGTGTGGACTTATGTACATCTACAAGAAAAAAAAAATCTATAAAAATTCAGTTTAATACTAACTTGTAACAATGTACTGAATTTTCGATTTGTTTCTTCATTCTTCTTATCATATTCGTCCATTCTATTCGAGTATTCTACCAATGTTTTATGTTGTTCAGCCATTTGTGATTTGCATTGTTTTAACTCGCGCTGTACATTGCCTACTTGAGTAGATGTTCTATAAAAAATTTTAATACTTTTATAAATATTTTTAAAGAATAATGTAATATTTAGAGAAACAATAACCTTTTTACTTTTCTGATTTTTACATTACAACATATGCCACCAACATTTGGTTATTTTTATTTATAATAAATAAAAAAAGTATAAAACCAACCAATTTTAAATTTAAAAAACATTCAATAAATTCTAGTAAGTGCCAGCAAATAATAATTTATTAAATTAATTCATTAATAACAAATTTACGATTTTTGAAATGTACATAACCTATATATGTAATATGTATAATATACTATATTGACTACATGCCCAGTAAATTTGTAACACATTTTGAAATACTATACGTAATACAAATTTAAAAGGATTAAAAAAAATTAATAAATAAGATTAAGATTTTGGCAAAATTAAATTTTTTTTTTCTTGTATTTTAAATTGTACTGTTGGTTTTACAGCTAACGCATTTATTTATCAATCTTGTCAAAACACAACAATGATGCATAAATTAATGTTTTTGACATTTGACATAAACAGAAGTTTTTGGATTCTGAGAAAAATGAATGTATTCTATTAATTTAACAATAAATCATTTTATTTTATTTTTATCACTACATTTCAGAGAAGTAAAACTTTGAGTGGTTTCTGGTAGAAAATCAAATCTGATCACTAATTCGGGAGATCAAAAATAAAAATGGATATCTAAAAATTTAAATAAACATACACACATTTTAATAGATATTTCATGTTCAAATTTAGATAAAATTGGATATTTAAACAACTTGATATCAATAACAATTTTATATATTTTGATTTAATCAAAAGATATTATTAAAAGGACCTGAAACTTTTTGCTATTTCATATTTTTTTATGTATTTACTACATACAATGAAATTTAAAAAACTATTGATTTATTGACCCTATTAAATACTACATATCTAATCACACCATTTTATCATTACTACAGAATGTTGGTATAGACTTAGGATTACATATTATAATTTTATTGATTTGTTTGACCAAGACTTAGGTTAATACTTAAACCTACCATATTACTATAACAGCAAAATAAATTATTGTTAATAGCAATTTAAACATAGAATAAAATAACCTTAAAATACCTATAGACTAACAAATTTTATCATAACATTTTAAGATCAAAAATAATTGGTTGAGATATATAGTTTTGTTTATGAAATTGTTTTCTTCGTATTCATTTAGTTTTATTTAGTTTTTTTTTTTTTTTTTTTTAAGAAATATATTTTGTAATAAATTAATTTAAAAATAATTATTCATAAGAAGTATAGCAGATAAAATGTATTGTTTATGATTATAACATAGTAATATATTAACAGTAGTGTAATGTTTAACAAATAAATTGTTTTAACAATAATAACTACAAATTTTACTTACTTTCGCAATTGTTTTCGTAAATCTAAGAAATCTCGTTCCAAATGACAATTTTGCGACCTAATAAAAAAATAAATAGTAAAAGGATGAGGTAATGTATATTGAAATACTTCAACGAAGAGGTCTCCAAATCACTCATAATTTATCTATCAACACAGTTCGCTTTGAAACAAATTTATATAGATAATATTTACCATACATTAACTTAATTTTCACTTTATTAATTATAGAACTTCATCTATGTGCTGCCATTTTTTTTTTTTTTTTTTTTTTTGATAACTAACTATTAATTCAAATCACTATTTACTTTTATTTTTTTCATTTATCTATTACAAATCAGAAAATATTGACAGTATCGAAATCAAATAAATTAAAACACTACACAGATGGTTATTTTTCAATGTGAAAACCTACAAAAAAGATATCTATTTAAATCTTAATTTGAAAATAATTATAAAAGAACAGAAAAATACATTTATACTAGTATAACGAAAACTTGTTCAAAACCAGACTTCAAAATTAAATTTTTTTCATGTATGTACATGAAATTCTTTTTTAAAATTTTTTTTTATATGTAATGTAACAATATTAAAATTATTATTATTCAATTAAAATATTAAATAATATTATAATTTATTTCAGCACATATTTTTTTCTTTCATGAATATTAATAATTTACGTTTTCTGAATAACGGGAGGATATTTTAGTGAAAAATATTAAAATATGTTTACACTATCTAGAAATTTCACAATATTGCATACATTTTCAAGCTTTTAAACTCAAAACAAATTGCAGAAAAATAGTTTAAAAATTATATCAAGTATAGAAAATATTAACATAAATAATTTGTGAAAAGTTAACATCTCTATGGCTAATCATTTTTAAATTACAACAAAAAATAAAAATGAGTTCATCTAAAACTAAAAAAATTTTATTTCATTTTCCTAATCATTTTGAGAAATAATGAGAATTATAAACCTTTTTAAGTATCAATTAGAATATTAAATCCCATTTGCAACCAGAAACCACTTTTTAAAGTTAAAAATCAAACCATTTTAAATTCTCCAAAATGTTTTCTCTGTAAAAAATAAACATTGTACAATAAATTGTTCCATTTTGAATTTTAAGTGGTCATGAACACATCATTTTAATAGGGGCAGAGCTATTTAAATTTTAAGGGCTGATACAAAATTGAAATCTCTATGGTCCTAAATTACCAAATTCAGTCCTGTATGAATAGTTAATGATATACATAAATAGGTTAAAAAAGAAAGAACACAAATTGCCCGCTATTTTTAATTTACGCCACTACCTACTGATTATAATTTTAAACACAAAACCTAACTCAAACTATTATATCCATTGTTTTCTGTTTTCCTATTTTTTTTTTCATACTAGTTAAATGACACATAAACCTACGTAAAATATTAACTTTAAAACATTCATAATTCACTTTAAAATTAAAATATCAATAAGATCTTATGTGATACCTCAAATAATATTCATTCTTTAAAAGTTTTATAATAGCTAAATTGACTTTAATAAAACTAACAGCATAAATTTGCTATGCCATAAATTAGTAAAATTGAAAAAACACATTCAAGTATAAAGTCCTCTTATTATGAAACATAAAATTAAGTATTTACTGAGGAAAAAAATTGCTTTGTATGGACTGATTCGATGGTGAATAGCATACAGCATGCACCAGGTAACTGTCGGTAGATTGTAAATTATGGTAGATTATAAGTGATTCAGTCAATATTATTTGTTGTATTTTCAACATAAAAATAAAAAAGTTCAAGTTGAAATGTATTTAAGTAGCTCAATAATTTCAAAATATTAAGAGTAAATTTATCAAGTCTAGAAAACGCTAATATAAAAACATGGCAAGAATTTTAAATATGGTAATTCCATTTTGAATTACAATAAAAAACAAAATTGATTTTGCCAAGATTAGAAAGCTCATATTATCACATGAATATACCTATTTTTTCAATGTTTTTAATAAGTTAAAAAAAAAAATAATAACATTGTTAAGCCAATATATAGTATTTTTTAGCTGAGATTCCAAAATGAACTTTAATAATAAAACTCCCAGCAGTTCAAACTTAATATTTTAACAAACATTTTATAAATTTTAACTTTTAAAAACAAAACAAATTTTGTTATAATTTTAATAATAAAGTTATATATTTTGACTTACGTTTTCATTCCTTGTTTAATTTTGCAGACACTTTTTCGTAGCATAGAACCACATTGAGGACTTTCTGAAGAAGATCTTTTACCTTCTAAACTTGAAACCGAACCTTCACGTATCATTAAACTGCGTTTTCTCAAACACATACTGGTAATAGTTCTGGTATTGGGTGGACCTAAAATTTTTTTATTATTATTAATCAAATAACAAATATTTGTAATAAAATGTTATGATATATAATATGCACAGTTTTATCTATACCTAAAGGTGATGGAAATTCATGATAATCATTAGCAAAAAGTCGAATTTCTGGAAGAGTTGGTTCAATTTTTTCCCTAAAATATTCCATGGCCATTGTGGACAAGTCAAATAGTTCATCAGTCACTTTATATGGCCTTGCCAACTTTGAAGTAACTTTAATATAATGTAATATTTTATACACTTCATCTAAGATCTGAAATAGAAATACATATATTAAACAAAGTGATTAAATATTTCTTAAAAATATAAATTACCTCTCCAGCAAAAAAACATATATGCTTTCTTTCAATATGTTTACCAAAAGCCATACGCAATAATAATAATCTCATATGAAGTGTTTCAACAATATCAGATTCACATGCAAGTGGATGTTGTCGTCTAGCAGATTCTCGTCTGGGCATTTTTGTTTTAATAATTTGAAAGCGATTTAACATTTGGTTTTGTAAACGCTGAAAAGTAGAATTTAACATAGTACTACAAACTACATTGAAATGCCGGGAAACCTGCAAAAAATAAAAAAATAAAAAAAAACTGAAATATTTGTAATTTGAGGTGCCTGATGTTTTACTTACCGATCTTAGTTGAGATATGTGTTTGAAATTAGTATATGATAAAATTTTCTCAAGAATTTCATATGGAAGGTCCAGCAAATTAATATGACTGGAACTACTTTGGCCTAAATTAGCTACATTGAAATTTTTCTCAGGTTTTGATATAACAACCACTTTAGTTGAAGAACCTGAACCGCTACTACTTTGTTGTCTAGTAGATACCATTTTATGTAATTTTGATGTAATTCCTTTTTAGAATATATTTGACAATTTTTTATGTATGTGTAAGATTAAACCTAAAACATGAATAAAAAAAAAAGTTAAAAATGTTATTTACTTTAAGAAGTCAAATTTAATTTATATTAGCAATTCTATGATTTTTTAAAGTTATTAGTTTTAAAAATCATTAAGCATATATACATTTTTATCAAGTTACAAAATACACTTAGATTTAGATGAAACTTATTTGGAGTTCAATTATTTAATTTCTTTCAACTTGTAGAAATAATTTTAACACTTAAGAAATAAGACAAAGTAAAAATAATTAATTCAGACTTTCATAAAGAACAATAAATAGTAAATTAGTAGTTTTAATGCACTATATAATTAATTATATTCAAATTTATTCAATTGAATAGGTAGCTAGTCCTTAATTAAATATGTCTAGGCTTTTTAAACAATTATTTTCAAAGTTTCTCTTAAATTTTATATCTTAGTTATATAGAAGATATCAATATAATGAATAGCAGCAATGCAAATATAATATATTTTACTTGCAGATATTGCATATAATAAATTTATTTTTATATAAATTATAACCATTAATGAGACATAACAAAGAATTATATTTTAAATGTACTTCATTAATATATTATAAATTTTTACATGGGTAAATTCTTAGATATATATATATATTTTTTTTTTTGTATATAAATAAATGTATTTTAAAACTAATAATTAAAAAAAAATGTAATCATAATAATATAATATAGCTATAATTAAAGCTTTATTAGCTTTAATACATTGGATTTGTTTGTAGAATTAAGTTAAATATAATAATTTCTTAAACCATAAGAAATTTAACTATTTAAAAGATCAAACACAATTCCTAATATGTTAATTCTTTTACCGTTTTTTTAAAAAAAAATTGCCAAATGTCAAACTTTGATTTAGGTATGAAAATTGTCAAGACTAGTTATTTATACAAAATTTAATGTAAAAAAAAATCTTACACAGAAATGATATAACTTTAAATAATTAAATACTTAATTATTCTAAAATAAATAACAATAAAACTGTAATTAGTAATATAACAAAAATTAAGAACTAGTTTGCAAACTTTGAAATTTTGAAGTATATAACAAAAAGGTGTTTTAGCAAAAATCAAAATATACTAGGTGGTTATCAATAAAACTATAATGAAATGTTTTTTATAGTAATTTATAAATAAAAATAAAAATAATAACTGTGAAACATGCTAGTTATAGTTGTTATATAAAAAAACAGAATATTTTAAGGTTGGTAAAACATAATAGAAGAAAGCAACCTCATATAAAATAATATTGATTTGCAATTAAGTAATAAGTTAACTGTGGAGTGGGTTTAGTTTCACCGCTAATAATATATTATTAAATTAATACAAATCAACACAAGGTGTAACTAGCTAGTTTAACCAATACTACGGGTTAATGAAATATTGACAAAATAAAAGGATCTAATACACCATAAACGTCTCCTGTACAAACCCAGATTCCAAAGAGATATCTCACCAAAAGCTAATACATATAGGCACTAACTAATACTTGCGCGAAAAAAATGAAATAACACTTCGTGATATGTCGTAAGTAAAATTTTTAAGTTGAATTAACAACTAGTTGACGCAACAAACGAAAAACGATTAAATTCTAGAAAAAGTTTCGTACGATTAGGCAGAGGACTAAAGAAATACACACAAAGCGCGAAAGATGATTCTGCGAAGACGAAACAATGGACCTTTAAGGACAAAGGCTCGCGTTATCAGGTTTTCGGCGGGGGAGCACGGACAGGGTGACGTACACTGCAGGGAGGGGTAGTCGCGGTGTGAGGGAGGGAAAAAAGCCTATCGTCCGGTACAGCCGGAACACTGTTTCGCCTGCGTGCGTATACGAAAATCTCGCGCCCAAAAAACAACAAGCGGGGGCGGACTGCGAAAGATAGACTTGAGCCAAGAAAAAGCTCCGCCGGACCCGAAAGTACGGAAGCCCGTGGACCTAGTGTGCGGCGCGCATAGACAGATATGACGAATGTCCCGTATCGTCTACATCAATAGTTCGTACATCGCGCTACGCGTCCCGCCGATAACCGCTACCGGATGAACTTCGACGGGCTGCTTGGCCGGACGGCCGCAGAATGCGTTACGTTACCTTGGAGTCCTGCGGTGCCACCAGAAAAATACGATAGCGGACGGCAAGTCGGAACAAAAATAATATTCTAATATAAACGTCGGGAACAAAGCAGTGGTCCGCAACGAGCGTTTGAAAATCTCTCGAACGCCGAAACACAAGCCTCGGTAACGACCACCAACATGGACGGCGGGGCGGTGGAGGCGCAAGGCTGTTGATTGGCACGCAAAAGCAGTCAGTACCAGCACCGGATCACGTTAGAGTTGCCGTACAAATGCGAAATGGTTCCGAAATGCAATAGCGCCAACACTGTGTCCCGAGCGGTGTCCGTAGTGGATGGTGAACGCGAATCGGCGAGACGTGTCCCGCGAGCGTTTGTTAGGCGGGCGGGCAGTTGGTGGGGCACCGACGACAAACCCCCGACAAGAGCCGCTACGAAGCTATTGCCGCAGCCGCGCAGTGTTGCCAATTTCCCGACGGATACGTTAAAATTAAAAAGACTCGTCGTTCCTTTCTTCTACAACAAGCTGTAAATAATAAGTAGACCTTATATACCCATAGATCTATAATAAATTAATAAACATGGGTTTTTTACGGCTAGATCTTATGTCTTCTAAACACGGCCGTCGACGGTACATACACTTACAATGAACATAGGTTTATAGATCTATGTATTCTAGACACGACCGCCAGATCCACTATAGCTACCGGTATTTCGCGTGTCGTGGTTATTTTAAATAATATCTACAATCTACGTATTAATAATAATAATAAGATTAATATTATGGTCTTCCACTTTTTTTGGTTCCTGGTCCATAGCGGCACAGCGGCAGGCAGCTACCACACCTACCAGTTACCACCACCACGAATATAGGTACCTACAGTACCACTCGCGTCCTCGCCATCACCGACTATGCTGTCAAGGGGTTATTGGCACTAGAAATTTTTTTCTCTCTTCTCATTAAATTCTCAAACCGGAAGCTACGTTACAATAATAATATAGTATAAATAATTTATTGTGCGTCCCTTGTCAACAGCGGCAATGGCAATACGGCTCGAAGCAGGAATTACATTTTTTCCCGCCGTTTTTGCGCGTAGATACCTACATTATAAATTCTTAAATAGTATATCCATGTATAATCACATTTGCCTCACCTGTAATATTCATAAAACATGTAATCATTGCATAGTAGATACGTATTTGTTAATAATATTATAGTAAGTATTAGTAATATACTTATTATAAAGCTTAAGTACGAAAATATGATATCACTGTTATATGCTTATACTTTTAATTATTTCCATATTATTATTAACTATAGTAGATACCTATTGTTGAGGCAAATTGGAGGTAGGTACATCTACTGTAATAGCCAATAGGTATAAGTCATTATATTTTATAAAATATAGAATTTACTTTCGTTATTCGAGGTATGAGATATTATATTTGTATGACTATATCCATATTATAATTTACAGAGCAATATCTTTACTACCTAGTCTAGATATATAGCGTATAGTATTTTAATGATATATCTATAATATAGATCATAATATTGTGTTTAAGTGTTAAACTCATACTTATACTACCTATACTTAAACATATTATGTATACGAACACACGTCACACTTAAACATATTATAATGTATCTAGTATATAACATATTTTTCAATAGGCACCTACTACCTACCTATAGTAAATCCTGGATCACTAATTAATATAGTTACCCATCTAATACAAAGGGTTTGAGAAATCTAAATATTATGGTAAATAATATGATAGAATAATTATTATTTTATTAATTCCTATAAGCTATAGTTTACAATATAATATATATATAGAGTTTAAAAATAGGTATAGATGTATTTTGTAATAATTAATTATTAATACCTAGGTATTTTATTATAAATTCATACAGTTTTTTAATTGTGATGAAAACCAAAACTAATTTATCTTATCAAACAAAATTTAAAAAAGGATTATATTTTTTTAGATAGGTACCTCCTAAACCTTTAAAAATTTTTATAATTTATGTAACATCTTTAAAATTTTAAATGGTAAAATATATTGTATGTATAAAAGCATACAACTATAGGTATAGGACCACTTTTAATATATCTGTCTACCTAATTAGCAAGGTAATTAATATCATAAATTGTATTTTATGTTGATGTATTTAATGATATTTTCATTATCTATAAATATTATTTACCAAACATAATACATAATATTATAAGTCATAAGTTATGACAAGTATTGCTTTATGCAGTGGTGTATTTTTATTTAACTTAATTTATTTTTCTGGAATCCTTCATGTTTGGTCACTTTCCCTCCACGGCAAAAAAAAAAAGAACCCCATTGTATGAGTATTTTACTCATGCTTATCAAAATATTTTTATCTAAACTGCAAAAATAAATTAATTTTACCAAATACGACAAGATCAAGGTATACTTTGGACAACCCAAAATTATTCAAAATACGCCACTGGCTTTTTAGTTTATGCAATAAACTCATACCATCAAAAATCATTATTTTTTTTTCAAATTATATTATAAAAATTTAAAAAAGATATCGACTATATATTTGAAAATAAGTTATGATTAATTCATAATGGTGTCTTGGAAAACTTAAAGAAAAATGTAATTCATGTAATCATATAAGCAGATATAATTGTTGAAATTATAGCTGGAAGGTATATATACGTATTGGTACTTATACCTACTGCTAACTGTATGATGCAATAATATTATTATGCCTTGTATGATTGCATCATAGCTGCAATATCGCATAAATATGTTTGTTAAAGTGAACACTAAATAGTAAACATTGTGTGTTATTATAGGATAAACTGGATGAAAATAATTAATAATTTTCCATTTTTTTAAAAATGATATAAGTATTTGCAGTCAAAATGTGTATAGAGGTTTCTATACAAACTTATTTATTTAATCTGAACATTTATGCCACAAAGAGATGACTAAAAGTGCATAAAGCATAACTTACATAATAAAAATATAGATCATTATAAAAACCACTTCAAATCTAAAATATGTATTATAGAGTTGTCTTTAACGGAATTGTTTCATTTTTATCTCTACAGCTCATTTAACTTGATACTTGAAGTATATATTAGGCGTATTTTAAGCTTAATTGAGATGAGATTCTTTACTCCTGATATATATATATTTTTAATTTAAACTTTAAACTATTGAGATTAAAGTGCTATTGGAATTTTTGATTGCAGAAAAATACTCTAATAAAGATACAATAAAAACATAATAGATACGCATTACTATACGTCTATACAGTAAATAATATTTTCAATATTGTCATTTTTATTATGGTTTATACTTTATATTGTTTATTGAAATTAACTCTAAAGAAAATACTACTAATTACAAAGTAAAAAATATTTTTAAAATCATAAAATTAATAATTATCAATACGTGTATATTAATACTTTCTAAAACAGTTATATAATTTCTAATTTAACCAAGAAAATAAAATAAAATAGATAACTGAATAATATCTGATTCAAATCAAACTATAGTAAGTATATAGCAGGGGTCACTTATTAATATTTTTGAAGGGCTACATTAGAAATTTAAAATTTTTTCGCATGTAATCAGAATTCTAAGTATATATTTTTAACATAAAATAGGTATTATTTTAAAATTTGATGTAATAATAAGAACATTTTTTTTACTTATTATTAGATATTGTTTATAAACATTAAAAACATAATTAATATTACAAATATTTGAAAAAACTATTCTTTGCTTGTGAGCCAGATAAAATTTGTTCGCAGATTGTATGCGGTCAGTAAGTCTCTATTTGTTGACCCCTGGTCTATAGGTACCTATAATATTACCTGTACGTATGTTATTTGTCAATTTTCTGATATTCGGTTATTAAACACCAAACAATAAACAAGTAAACAACGTGCACATTACATTAATGAGTAAATACTAAATAGTAATCTTATAAAAAAAAAATAATTTAACACGTAACTAACAAGAATATTAGCTAAATAAAAATATTTTTATTTTTTAAAGGATTTTAATCATAGATACATTATAGTCAGTATACAAATTAACCAAGTTAATATAGATAAAGGACCAGTATTCAGCAATAAAGTAAAACTTTATTTTCATTATCTATAGTTATTAATTATGTATTGTATTTATATCATAGTATATGTACTGTGTAGTATAATGATTAATGAATGTCAGCACAAATTTATAAATATTAGATTCTGAGCGGAGAGATGAATAATAAATTATCATTTTACAATGATATGTGTTTTTTTTTTTTTCATTATCTCCTTTTGGAACTGTAAAAACACTAAAAACGGTTCAATTTTTAAATTTAAATTTGGTTGCTTGTAGCAAATTGAATCTGGTTGGTACTTAGACCAATTAGAGTTTATTATTAGAGTTAAAAATAAAAAATATTTTTTAATATATCAAAAAAAAAAAAAATGAAATAAAACGAGAAGTTTTATGCAAAACTATTATTTGATAAAATTGGTTTTATTTTATTGTAAAAAAAAAAAGAAATAATCATAGATAATTCATTTTTTATGAAATATTAAAATTTATTTTTAATTTTCTATGGATGATAATATTTTCTAAATATATCAACTATTTTTAAGCTATTAGTAAACATTTTCGATTCTTTTAATTTTTTTTTTTATAAATATTAACAACAAATTTGTTACTGGTTAGAAATTCAAAAAAAAAATTTATCTAAGATTTAAAAAATTAATATTATGGTCCTCTTTCTCAAAAATAGTTCATACTGCAAACCAAAAAATTTAAAATGTTTGTATTAAGTTATTTTTTATAGACATTTTAAGTAAATATTTTAACAACGAATAATGATGTTGACTATTTTATTGTAATCCAAAAACATGGTTCACGATTACGTCTTATAACTCTTAGGTGGATTATGAATTTCACTATACCTACGCAATAATATTTTTAAACATGTAATTCAATATTAAGATGATTATACCTACTTATACCATGAACTTATTTACTTTATTTTACGATTTGGTAATATTGACTCAAAATTTTACAATAATAATATAACAATATGGTATGAGTATAAATTATCATTGTAATTATTAAATGTTAATAATGTAATAAATGCAATGTTTTTGGAAAAATTAAATTAACCTATCACAATACTTAATAGTAAAATAAGTTACTTTAATAGCATTATCAAGAAGCATATCATAAAATAAACTTTATGTACTAGACCGAATCCATACAAAATCATTTTTCATGTAGTAGGTATGTATAATAATAGGTACATCATTAAATTCAAATTCAACATATTAATTACAGAGACCCTAGTAGA